GGCTCCTCAGTCCTTAACACCTCCATCCAGGATGCCACCAGACTCTGTGTTTTATGACGTGCATGTTTGTTTTGGTACAAGAACACGTTTTCTTTGGATTTGGTGGGTCTTCTACCTGCAGAGCTCCTGTGGTTAGTGAGCAGTGCGTCGGTGTGTTGTCTGGTGGATTTACTCAGTCGTCAGGTTTCTGCTTCTTCCTGTCTGTCAAACAAAAAATCTTTTTGTTGTTTGTCCTTGTAGCTTTAGATTTGCCCAGAGAAAATTAATCTTTAACATTTCTGATGGTAGATTCATAGTTTGAGTCATTTTATAAAGTCAAAGATTCAAACATGATCCTTTCAGATGTACAATCAGCTTGTCTTGTCATTATTGAATATTTGGGCCGTTGGTTGGACCAAACAAGACATTTGTATCACATTTTAACTGTTGTGATGTTTTAGCCAAATGATTAAAGCATGATGAATCACAGTGAATCAGTTATAAGAATCATCAGTTACATCTCTAATCTTTCCTAATTTTCTGTCCGCAGTCCAAGTGTCGAGCAGAATCCTCCGAGTGCCAGCCCAACAGGTACGTATTATAAATTCACTGTATGAAGTTTTATGGACTTTAGAGCACGTCCAGGCTGCATTCACACTGTACAACCTCTAACACCTGTGGATGTCCGCAACAAAGGCCAGGTCTATTTTAAGAAATGTTGTTATGGGGCTGGCCCAACTGGACCCATACAGACTGTGAGATGGACAAATCAAAGGCACTAACACAAAGGCTGAGAGAGTAAGTAAATCATCATCCAGATGTTGCTGCTCATCAGGCATGAGCGTATGGATGTTTTACAGATATCAGAGAGCAACCTCTGCTGTGTTGTCTGAGCACTGTGTGTTAATCTCAGGCGTTGGCCTGCGTGCGTACAGTTTTGGCCTGTGACATGTTCAGAAGCGCTGCTGTGGGAGAACAGCGTCCTTTTCCTGTTGTAAATTAATCTGTAGACTTCCTCCCACATCTGAGGACAACAGCTGTGATCGGTGACTGTTCATTTCAGTTAGTCAAATTTAAAACGGACGACGATTCACATGATGAAATGTATGAAAATGTCCCCAGAAACCTGAAGATTAAACATACATGAATACAGTCTGTTGCAGTCCAGCAGAGGGCTCCACACTCCAGACAGTACGAAACGTTAAGAAGTCAGACTAAAGTTTCTATAAAGACTTAAAGCAGTGGAGCTGGTTTCTTTCAAAATAAGTCTTTTCAGGGAAACAACTTTGAAACTGAATCAAAGCTCAGTTCAGACAAACTTTAATGTCAAAATGGTGACATTGTAATTCTTGTGCTCAAGGGAATTGTTATTTTATTAGTAATGTTTTTTAAGCAAAGAGTCTGAGTTAATTATTGGGGAAAATAATCATCTGATTAGATTTAGTTTTTTGTTGAAGTCCTAAGCTGCTGCAAATTTCTTTACGTTTACCTTTTTCTGTGTGTGTGCTGTGTTCAGGTACATGTGTTACTGTGGGAAGCTGCAGGATCCTCCAGCTGACCCCTGGTTGGCCCCTCATTCCTGTGGCTCCGTCTGTCAGAAGGAGCTCAAACCCACATGTGGACACACCTGTCTGCTGCTCTGTCACCCGGGTAACCACACACACAACCTTGTTTATTGCCTTGTTAATATCCTGTCAGAGTAATTAACGGATTCATTACCATCAATAAACACGTGTATTTTCAGGTCCGTGCCCTCCGTGTCCAAAGATGGTGGCAGTTTCCTGTATGTGTGGCAAAGCTAAGCCCCTCCCCCGTCGCTGTAGCAACAAGGTACGCATAAAAAGTAGAAAAGATCAAAAGTTTAAAGCTTTAAACTTTGTTATTGACGTGTTTCACTGGACTGGATTTGACTGATGAAAATGATCCAATCAGAAGCGGCGAGAGATGATTGGCGGCTTGAAATGATAAACGAGTGAAGACTGCAGGGCTAACTGTGTGTGTGTGTGTTGTCTCTCCAGGCCTGGTCGTGTCAGAAGCAGTGCAGCAAGTTGTTACCCTGTAAACAGCACACCTGTACGCAGCCCTGTCACACAGGTACACACACAGATCCAGACACAGCCACAAGTTCTGTTTCTGAACAGTGACAGACACTGTTCACTATGATGTGCACTGTATTTTTAAGTTCTGTAGTTTGAGTGTCTGAAATTTATCCTCCATATATGTTCCAGTCCAATACTGGAACAGAAAAACTAAATGTCTCTACTCAACCCTACCAATCCCACAATGCAATGCATCACATTTTATAGATGTGAAAATTACTGTGTCGTAACAGTGATGCTACAAAATGATTATGATAAGTGTCAAACACAGGCTGTATAAAACATGGACATAGTTGCCATGATGTCACCATTAGGTTTCTGTAAGTGTGAAGCTCACTGTGTCGCCATCTTGGCAGTGCCTGACTCAAAGAGTTGGAGCTGAGGTGAGCTGAATGAAGCCTGGTTGCTGCAGACCTGTGATGGAACCCATCTGCCACATTTAAAGTGGCCAAGCCCTTTATTATAAATAACTTTAACATGAACATGAAAGGGGAAATTAGTAATTGAGACAAACTGTTTGTCGACTCACTACTTCTGCCCTCAGTGGACTGATCTCACTAGGTTCACTTCAGTTTTTTATACAAAAGGAACGACCCTTGTGATTGCGGGCCGCCGTGTTATTGATGAAGTTATCAGCTGCTAAGGACCGCCAACATGGCCGCCTGTAACTCCTGTCTGTGTCTGTCAGAGTGCTCCCCCTGTCCAAGAGTCAGCGTGCAGAAATGTGTGTGTGGACGAGAGAAAGCAGAGAGACCCTGCGCCAGCCCTCGGTGGAACTGTCAGCAGGTACTACTGCACTCAAAATACAGTAATAATGTACTGTTACACTGTGATACTGCTCTCTGCTGGACTGTTAGGCTTCACAATGTCAGCAGGCACTACTACACTCATAATACTGCACTTTTATACTGTAATACTGCTCTCTGCTGGACTGTTAAGCTGATGATACACAGCAACTTTTAGAGCAATCGTACTGGGCAACGTTGCTGTCAGTGGTAATGAGTAGGGATGGGGATCGTTAATTTTTATTGATATTGATACCCTTATTGAGACTGTTTAACGATCTGATTCTTTATCGATACCACTATCGATACTTTACTATTATTTAGTGATGGTTATTTAGTAAAACCAGGCATGAGGTTGGCCTGCACGGTATGTGGAAAATATTCAGTGTGCGATAACGTTATATATTGAGATGACATATCACTTGCGATAAATAAACATATGTTAAAG